GAACCCTGAAACAACCTCTGGGCTGATCTAAGTCAAGACACGGGTAACTCACAGATCGAATTGAAATTTAGCGCGTGTAAGGCTATGCGGAGGGAGGAAAACAGGAGAAAATCCCTCAAATCACATGTGATAGAGAACAGAAAGCATTCTCTTTTTCAATTCCTAAATATGAAGTGCACAAATAAGGAATGTCGACATACCTGACTGCTTGCCGCTCTCACGAATGATGAATTGGCGGTGACTGTTACAGCTTTGAGTGTGTCTCCCGTACCAAAAACAATCTAGTCGAAACATATTGTATTACCACCACTATAAAATATTATTATATAGTTGGGATAGTACACGCGCGCTGATTGGTCGAAAACTGTGCTTTATTAGTGAACAGAGCACAGTGTTGACGTCATCGACGCGCGCGAAGTGCTGCTAGATCCTGCGACCGTCTTTCTTGTTTTGTATTAAATTCAATACCGAAATAAAATTAGTAACTAAATGATTAAACGAATGAAACAGCTTTTTCCGTGCTCCATTCAGTAATAAAGAACTTAGAAAGCTCAAGAAGTGTGAGAAGCACTCGCCGACGGCTTGTGCTTCTCCTTACCTTTCTTTCGTGCTTACGCCACTTCCTGCATGCTTTATTAAAGAACGGAGCACGGAAAAAGCAATTTTATTTGTTAAATCAAAGACAAAGAGATAGAGACATATCCTGCAATAACTTTCTAACCTCGCACCCTCATATAGCTGAGGCCATGTTGGTTGACTTGAACAAAAGATTTGGTCTTGGTTTCTTTTGTTATGTCAACCAACATGGCGGCCACGTGTTTTGTCCTTGTACATGTGACGTCATAGCCGCCATGTTGGTTGACTTGAACAAAAGATTTGGTCTTGGTTTCTTTTGTTATGTCAACCAACATGGCGGCCACGTGTTTTGTCCTGTTTATTTTCATTGGACCCCCTTTACGTACTTTCGATCGCAGTTTGATGCTCGCGCTGTCTTTTAGACCCATGGATCTTTTCGATGGCTGATCTGGAACGTTTCTGATTTGATCCATAAGCTGGCTACAAAATACACAAAATTCGCCAAGTTATTATCCAGAGAAAGATTATATTATATTTCGTTCTGGCTCACAAGTGTGACTAGATGTGATAAGCAATAGCTTACATCATCATGATTGTAATCATCATAATCATCATCATCATTATCACCATCATTATCATCATCATCATTATCACCATCATTATCATCATCATCATTATCACCATCATTATCATCATCATCATTATCACCATCATCATCATCAACATCATTATCATTATCCTCATCATTAACACCATCGCTATCTTCATCACCACCATCAGCAACACTATCGTCATCCTCATCACCGTCATCTGCATTACTAACATCATCATCACCATCATTATCATCATCTAAATTAACTTTAGCAGCCAGCACCACCACTAAGAGTTTACCACGAGCACCACCATCACCATCACATTATCATTTCTCTTCTTAGAAATAAGTCTGAGGAATTTGATTTTGTCATACCTTGCTCTTTCCTTCTCCTTGGGACCTCCAATAGTCTGAACAATTTTCTCAAAATCGTTAATGGCAGAGCTGCAAACAAGCAGTTCTTTACCTACATAATAAAACCAAAAAATAAGATTATGTGGGTTCACCTATGCATATGTTGCGTGCAATGATGTCGGCAACATTGCACAGTAAAACCAAAAAGATTAATCATTGCCATATTGCGTGCTCAACGATTCATATTTATTGCTCTTGCACATCGTTTGGGGCATGCACAACTTGCAAGGCCATTTAATACCATGAAATCTTGTACTTATGAGAAAACATTTACCTTCAAAATACTCTATCAGAAGTGGAAGTAAGGGACCCCTGCGTTCTTTTTCTGCTTGTGAGTTTAGGATACTATCCTGAAATTACAAGAGCTAAATTGAATCGGTTGGCTTAGTTGGTTGAGCATCGGACATCCAGTCTCATCCATAAATCATTGTAAAGCACCTTTGAACATATCCATATGGAAAAGAGCGCTATATAAGTATCATAATCATCATGATCTATGGTCACTGACTGAGTAAGAAGAACTTGTGGTAGTTTTTAGTTGGAACTATTGTTGAAGGACAGTAAGTAAGTATATACCTTAAACACAAACATAGCTCCGCCATTAGTCACAGCAGATACAAAGGCAATCATGGTCGATACGTCTAGGTTAACACGATTTCTGAAAGAAGGAAAAATGAAGAATGAATGAATAACTAAATGCATAAAAGGATTAAGGAAGATGAATGAAAGGATGGATGGAGGCATGGATGGAGGCATGGAGGCATGGAGGCATGGATGCATGGATGCATGGATGCATGGAT